CTGCCAGCGCTCCAGCCTCTCCCACTCCAGCTCGTTGAAATACACCGAGATGTCATCGAAGGTCAGCGGCACCTGGAAGCACAGGGAACCCACGTGGCTCCACAGCCCCCGGACACGCAGGAGTTCAGACCCCCACCCCAGGGAGCCCCCGGACACCTTTACCTTGGGGATCTCCCCGCGGGAGCCGGGGGGGAGGCGCAGGAGCCAGAAGTTCCTGTTCTTGAGGAGGTTCTCCAGGTTGTGCAGGCGCTGCTGCAGCTCCCCGTAGCCCTGCAGGACGGTGCCCAGGCTGGCCAGGCCGCTGCCCAGCTCCCCCACCAGGGTCTCGCAGGCCAGGAGCCGCCGCTCGGCGCGTTCCGTGCGGCTCCGCAGCTCCTGCAGCTCCGCGCCCGGCACAGCCCTCCGCCGCGGGGAGCTCGACACCTGGGGCGGACAGGGAGGGGGCTTTAGGGGTCAGGACCCCCCGGCAGCCCCGAGGAGTTCCACCAGACCCCCATCCCGCAGGGATCTGCCAGAGCATGCCTGTCACCCCCAGGGGAGCAACCTCATCCCCGCCTTCCCCAGGACCCAAAGGAGCCCCCCAGAACCTGAACCAGCACCCCCAAGGGTCCACCCCCATCCCCGCCTTCCCCAGGACCCAGAGGAGACCCCCGGACCCCGAACCAGCACCCCCAGGGGAGCACCCCATCCCCGCCTTCCCCAGGACCCAAAGGAGACCCCCAGACCCTCGCACTGGCAGCCTTGAGGGACCCCCAGCACCCCTGGGGGACCCCCCTGTCCCCATGAACTGTCACCCCTTAAGGACCCCCATGATCAGCCCCCCCGAGGGATCCCCCAGCTCCCCTTCCCCCAGGACCAGTACCCCTGAGGGAACCCCCTGAACTGTCCCCCTCAGGGATCCCCCCCTTCCCACCTCTCCCAGCCCCAGAGCCCTGAGGGACCCCCCAGACCCCCGCGCCCCCCTCCCCCGTGGGACCCCCGCGCCCCCCTGACCCAGCCGCCCTGTGCGCTCTCCCCGTGCCCCGTGCCCGGTGTCCCCGCGCTCCCCGACCTGCTTGCCCGCCCCCCGCCGGGACATGGCCGCGCCCGCTCCGCCGCCCCGGCCCCGCGCCCGCGCCGCCCGCCGGGCCCACAGGGGGCGCCCCTTCCCGCCCAGAGCGCCTCCGCGCGGGAGCGCGCGCCCCCTGCCGGCCGGGAGGAGCGACCGCCAAAGGGCGGGGGCGGGGCCACGGCAAGGGGGCGGGACCCTGAGAGGGGGCGGGGCCACAACGAGGGGCGGGGGCACCTCGGGCGGACCCCAGTGGTCTCCCCCGGACCCCCACCCCAACCCCCAGCCCCCTGAACGGGCACCCTGGGGACCTCCAGGGCCGGGATCGCTGGGGGAATCCCAGCCCCACCTCCCCTGGGACCAGCATTCCTGGGGGAACCCCCTGTCTCCCTGAACTGTCATCCTTCAGGGAATCCCCCATCATGCCTGAGGGACCCCTCAGGGGTCCAGGATCGGGAGCACCGGGATGGGGAGCACTGGGATGGTGAACACCAGGATGGGAAACACCAGGATAGGGGAGCACCGGGATGGGAAACACTGTGACGGGGGAACACCTCCACAGCAGCTTCAGGCGCAGCTCCCACGGCAGCCGGGGATGGGGGGGCTGCCAGTTCTGCCCATCCTGGGGGTTGCTGTCCCTCCGGAGGGCACCTGGGCATTGTGGGATCCGGCCCACCGGAATCACGCCCACCCCATGGAGAAGGGACCCAGCACTCCCATGGGATTCAGCCAGGCCCCTGTATCCAGCCACTGGAGCCCAGCACAGACCACTAAAGCCCAGCTGTGCCAAGGAGGGGATCCCTGGCGATGTGAGGAGTGCGGGGAGGGCTGGGATGGGTGGGAGCACGGCTGGAACAGGAGCAGCACCCCCAGAGTGGGGTCACCCCATCAGGAATCACCCACCACGTGTGTGTCCCAAACACATCCACTCCCTCCGGTGCTCCGGCTTTATTTGGGAGCTTGGAAAAGGGAGGGGCAGCTGCCCCCAGAGGGATTTTGGGGAGTGGGGGGGCTGTGGGACTCAGCTCAGGGCAGGGAGGGGGTGGCTGAGCCCCTGGCTCTCTCCTGGCATGGGGCTGTTCCCAGCCCCTGGCATCGCTCCTGTCCTCTGGCATCACTTCCCACTGCGTTGTTGGGTGTTTGGAGCATCCTGGGGGGCCCTACGTGGAGGTCCCTGCCCAGCCCGGGGATCCTGCTGGGGCTCTGCTGTGACGTGTCACGGCAGCAGGACACGGCCGGGGTGTCCCGCGGGATGTGCCGGATCCGGGTCCTCCCGCCGGGCTCTTCCCTGTGGGAGCAAGGGCAGTGCAGCACAGAGTCCCAGGAGAGGGAGAGGCCATCCCGGCCCCACTCCTACCCCATCTTCACACCATCCCATCCCATCTCCATCCCCATCCCCATCCCCATCCCATCCCCATTCCAGGGCTGTCTCTGTACTCACTCTCCTGCCTGGCTGAGCCACATCCTCCTCACGGGAATTCCAGGGCATGGACTGTGACTCCTACGGGACAGACACAGGGTATGGGAGCCACTAGAGCCACCGGACACCGTGGGGGTGTCACCACCCCCCCTGTCCTGCATCCTGCTTCCCTCATTCCCGATCCCGGCTCACCTCGCTCAGGACGGAGAAGCAGCCGGAGCAGGGTCTGTGCGGCCTCCGCCGGCCCTGGGGGGGAAAGGCTGGATTGGGATCTGCCAGAGCCCAAGGCAGTGGGAATGTAGGCAGGACATGGAGCTTCCCAGGGAACTCTCCCCATGTCCCCCCCCCCCCCCCCCCCCCCCCCCCCCCCCCCCCCCCCCCCCCCCCCCCCCCCCCCCCCCCCCCCCCCCCCCGCTCTTCCCTCACCATCCCAATGGGATCCTGTCCGGTTGTGCAATCCCGAGGGGCCGGAGCACTGAGCTCACCCTCATTCCCAACACAGGGAAGGGGAGACTGGAAAAGCTGCTCCCAGGGATGTGGCCTGGGGGCCTGGGCATGTGACCAGTATCCCCTGGGAACCGGGAGGGGGGCACGGGTTGGTCCCTGCGGTGCCAGGGAATGTTCCCCTCCCTCGGTGCTCTCCCTGCTCCCAGCTCCGTTATTCCCAGCCTTCCCCCGCTCTGCACACAACCAACCTCTCTCCCCTGCGCCACCATCCTCGAGTGCCCGTGCTCGCCTCTGGATCCGGCTCTGGCTCCAGATCCGGCCACGGCCACAACGGCCACGGCAGCGGCCACGGCACAGAGCAGCCACAGCCTCATGGCCCCGCTCCGGCTGCTCCGGCTGCTCCGGCCTTCCTGGCTGTCCCGGAGCCGCCAGCTCTGTCCCACACGGACCTTGGCCCCGGATGTCACCACAGTGACACCGGGGGGTCGATGGGAGCTGAGCTGCCGAGGAGAGGAAGAACCACCCTGGATAAGGGATGGGGTGGAAATATCTCCCCAAAACTGGTGTCTGGGGGGTCCTGCTTTTCCTCTGCACCTCTCAGGGAGTCATGGGGTCCTGGAATGGTTTGGGCTGGAAGGGACCTTAAGGATCATCCCATCCCAGCCCTTGCCATGGGCAGGGACACCTTTCACTATCTAAGGTTGCTCCAGCCTGGCCTTGAACACTTCCAGGGATGGAGAAGCCACAATTCCCTTCATCCCTTCTGAGTTCCAGGATCCTTCATCCCTTCTGAGTTCCAGGACTCCAAACACCCTGGATCCCAGAGCAGCTCCAGGTGCTGGAGGAGCCCTGAGCCCCCCAGACTGCTCCGATTTTGTGGGATGACCACAGGGCTGCGAGGGCTCCCAAATTCCAGATCTCAAATGCCACCCCGTGTTCCCTGCCGTTATCCATATGGATGAAGACGTGGCTCCTGTGGGAATGGGATGATCCTGGCTTGGCTCTGACCAACAGTCTGGACCCGGAACTTTGAGGGACAGCAGCATAAAAAGTAACTTTTGCCAAATTATGGGTGATTTTAATATTTATATATATATATATATATATATATATATATATGCTAATGAGCCTCATGACGCTAATGAGGATGTGACTCCACCCCTCAGCTTCGGGTTTGGATCTGCCACAGGCAGCACCTGAGGCGGGAGATGGGATTGGGCTGGAATGAGGGGGCAGGAAATTCCCTGGCACAGAAGAAGAGCCAAAGGGATCTCAGAGACTGTCCTGTCCCTGCTCCGAGTGGGAATGTTGCCCCTGGAAGCTGCTCCGTCGGATCCTCATTAATCCCACATTAACCCAATATTATCCTGGTTATTGAGCTCCTGCTTTTATCAACGGAATTCTAGATCCAGGTGTCTGTTGCCCCAATAAACCCCACAATTCCAGACTCTGGGATCCTTATTAAGGCCAACCAGACTCACTGTGCCCAGTCAGTGACTAATCTTGACTCCTCTGATTCCTGGGGATCCTTGGGACACAGTGGGATGTGATTTATCCCGGATTTCTGACTCTTAATGCCAAAGACGTGCAGGCAGGAGAAAGGGATTACACAGGAAATTCCATAGGATAAATGCAGGGAACCACTTCCACAACATCAAGGGGGAAGGGAATTAAGGAAGAGTCAAAGACACAGCACCCTTGGGAGAAATCCAGAGTGGAAAAACCCGGAGCCCGGAGCTGGGTCAGATCCAGACAGTTTGTGCTGGAAAACCTGAGAATTCTCCCAAGATTTTTGGGGATTCCAGGAGAATCCAGGACTTTGGAGCCCAAAGCATGTGGCAACGGGCGGGATCCGCGGGGGGGGGGGGCAGGCTCTGCTCCCAGGGAACAAGGGACAGGACGGGAATGGCCTCGAGCTGCGCCGGGGAAGGGTCAGGTTGGACACTGAGAAAATTCCTTCCTGGGGAGGGCTGTCCCCCCTGGGCAGGCCTGGGGTCCCTATTCCAGGAAGGATTTAATTCCCGATGGGGTTTAACTTCCGGGTCACTTCCGGGTAGACAATGGCGGCGCTTCCGGAGTGGGCGAGGCCTGGGCCGGAAGCGCGTGCGGAAGAGGCCGCGGGACCTCCCGGGAACCCCCAGGACCCTCCCGGGCCCCCCCGGGCGCCATGGCGGGGCAGGCGCAGGTAGGAGCCGGGCACTGGTGGGGGGAGCCCCGGGACGCCCTTCCAACCCCCCGGCCCTCGATGTTCCCCCGATTCTGGGGGGGTCTCGCAGCCCCCCCGGGCAGGGGCTGGAGGGACTCGGCCTCAAATAGACAGGACCCCATCACAGCCCCAAACCCCTCCTCAAAGCCCCCTCATAGCCCCCATTGCTCCCTGCCCCATCCCTCACCCTAAACACCCCCACAGCCCCCCAAAATTCCCATCATACCCCCTATTACCCTCCAAAATCCCCCAAGCGTGGGGGGATCCCCATCATACCGTCCATCACCCCACAAAACCTCCGTCACCCTCCAAAACCTCCATCACAGCCCTCCAGTCATACCCCTCAAAACCCCCCTCACCACCCAAAATCACCCATCACCCCCCCAAAGCCTCCACCAAACCCCTCCCCTCCATCAAATCCCCCACCAAGCCCCCTATCCCACCCCCCTGAAAGCCCCCTCAACACTCCCCTCCCTCTCTCCAACCTCTCCTTCCCTCCTTTTCTCTGGGATCGATCCCAAGGATTTCCTGGGATGGGCCATGGGGGGTCACCAGGGGCTGCCCAGAAAATCCCACCCAGCTTTGTGTGACCTGGAGTCCTGGAATATCTCAGTCCCTTGGGATCTCCTGGCAGGAGTGGGAAAACACATCCTGAGGTGCCGGATTCCAGTGTTGGATGCTGGATTCCAGCCTGTCCTTCTCTTAGATCCATAATTCTCCCCACTGTGGGGCCCTTCCATGGCCTCATATCCTGGGAGCTCCCCTGGGGTGGGAATAGCACCTGGAAAACTGAAAATCTAGGAAGGAGGGTGTGATCTGTGTGGGAAGATGTGATCCCTGTGGCTGTGATCCCTGAGCAGTGTGTGATCCCTGAGCAGGGTGTGATCCCTGTGGCTGTGATCCCTGAGCAGGGTGTGATCCTTGTGGCTGTGATCCCTGAGCAGGGTGTGATCCCTGCTCCCTGTGCAGGTTCCAGTGACCTTTGAGGACGTGATGGTGTACCTGAGCCGGGCTGAGTGGGACTCACTCCAGGCGGGACAGCGCGAGCTGTACCGGGACGTCGTGTTGGACACCTATGAGCTCCTGACATCCCTGGGTAATCCTGGGGCTCATCCCAGTGGAAATTCCCTCGGGTCTCACCCCAGTGGCTTCCACAGCTCAGAATCCCAGAATCCCAGAGGCACTGAGGTTGGAAAAGGCCTTGGAGACCCCGAGTCCAACCATCCCCCAGCACCGCCAAGGCCAATCCATGTCTCCAAGTGTCACATCCACACGGTGCTGAAATCCCTCCAGGGTATCCATCCAGGCTGGACAGCCTTTTCCATGAAGAATTTTCCCTAATAGGAGCTGATCAGGGAGTTTAGTGCTGGAAAAGGCTGGATTTGAGTCTGGTTCTAAGCATCTCTGGAATTGTCATCCTGGGGATGGTCAAGGAGTGCAGAGGGAGATCCCACCCCCGGGATGAACAGGAGACATTCCTTGGCTGGAAAAACCCATCAGTGGAGTTGGGAGGTGGTTCCCACACTCCCATCAGGGCTCTGCCTTCAGCCTTGGGAATAAATCACTCTCTAGCAGCATCTCCTTTGTTTTCCCACATCCCAGAGGTGTTTCTGCACAGCCCGGGGTGTCCCAGTCCTTGGTTTTCCCGTGTTACCAGTTTATTCTCATGTCTGGGAGTAGGACAACACTGTGTGTCCCATTCCCAGGTCATCCAGGCCCCAAACCCGATATCCTGTACCGGCTGGAGCGCGGGGAAGAGCCCTGGATCTGCCCATCCTCAGGTGAGCAGGAACATCCCCACCTGGAGTGGCGGCTCCTTCCAAGCTCCGGGTCACCGGCACATCTCTGTATTCCCACTCCTTGCTGCCTGTTTTGGGGGGTCTCCCCCATTCCCTCCCCATGGAGGGAGATGGAGGCTCTGGAGATGCTGTGGATCTACTTGTCCGCCTCTTCCCATGGAGCAACTTCCCCCCATTCAGTCACCTCTGAGCAGGGACAAGGACAGGGCTCCTTCCTCCATCCCCATGGCCATGGAATGGATGGGATTCCCATCTGGGAGGGGGACAGGGCTCCCTGCTTCATCCCCATGGCTGTGGAGCAGATGGAATTCCCAGCCAATCCGCTGTTTTCCTGCAGGACACACCGGGAGCTGGCAGGAGGAGCCGCTCTCCAGCTGGTGGCCTGGATCCAGTGAGAGTCCCAGGCTGGAGGAGAGTCCAAATCCCCCAAGTCCAGGTGAGTTCTGATCCCTCCTCTTCCTCTCCTGAGCCCCAGAAGCTCTGGCTCCATCCTGGTGCCACTTCCATCTTCTCCCACTACTGGACTCTCCCAGTGTCCAGCAGAGGTTGGATGCGGAGCCCAGACTGGGGAGAAGGCATTTCCCTCTCCCTGCTCTGGCCAGAAAGGATCCAAGGCCTTCCCACCCCTCTCCCAGCAGGCCAGAGCGCTCCAGAGTGTCTCCAGGCTCAGAGGCTCCTGAAGAAGTCGGGCTGTGTGGAGGGAAGGAGCGAATTCCCATTGGAAGAGGCCGGCGGAGTGGGAAACCAAGCCCAGACGTGTCCTGTGAAGGAAGGAGTAGACGTTAAATGGGGAGTCATGGAAAACCTACCCCAGAGCGGGACAGTCCCACCTCATTGCATGGGGGAACAGCAGAACGCGGATCCTCAGGAGCAGCTGCAGGGGGACCCCAGGGAGAAGAGTCCCGGGAGCACCCAAAGCCATGGATACACCTCGGGAGAGTCGCTGCTCCTCCAGGAGCTGCAGAAGCTGGGAGCGGAGGAGCTGAGGGAGGCTGTGATGAAGGATCACAGCTACTGCCTGCAGAGCACGCTGCAAACGCCCAGCTGTGCTCCGGGGCCCTGCTCCACGGGGGAACACGACTATTCCCCGAAGCCCTGGGCAGATCCCAGATTCTGCTACGCCTGGAACCACAGGGCTGCAGCTGCCCAGGCTGTGCTGGGCCGGGCGCTGATGCAGCAATCCCATGTGGGTGGGATCCTCCGGAAAGATAAGGACATCCTGCCGCGGTACCGGCCCTACTGGAGGGCAGCGTTTCCCGGGAGCTGCGGCTCCCGATGCTGCGCTCCCGTGGAGGGGACGTGTGGAGGGGATTGTATTCCCGAGGATCGGGATGGGCCGTGCGCCCTCCGGAGCGACAGGAACGCCGGAGGGGGGACATTGGACACGCAGGGGATTTTGGAAGTGGGGGGTTCACCCCAAATGTCGGCCGCCAGAGTGAGGCCTGTGGAGGGTCAGAGGACCTGGCAGCTCCAGGGTCCTGGAGCTGAGCAGAACGTTAAGGGATGTGTGGCATCCAGGAAAGCCAAGGTGTCGTCGCTCCAAGGCCTGTTCCGGGCAGTGCACCAGGCGGTCGGACAGATGTTGGACTCTGTGTGCCAGAGGCTGGAGCTCCAGGGGTTCTCCCAAGGGAATAGCATCTGGCCCATCACCATCGAGATCAACAGTGTGGAGGAGATTGGGCAGCTGTGATTCCTGGGGAAAACTGGAATTTGAGTCCCTGGGGAAACCTGTCAGGGAGGGATCTGGGAGGAGAAACAGGGCAGGGGTGTAAAACTGGGAATGTGGGGCCTGTGGGAAAGTGGGATTGACTGGGAAACTTTGAGGAAAGGAGAGGAGCAGTGTGAATCAAAGAAGGAAATAAAACTGAGCAAGGGGAGGATTGAATCATGGAATCATGGAAACATTTGGATTGGAAAGAACCTTCAAGGCTATCCATTCCCACCACCTACCATGGGCAGGGACACCTTCCGCTATCCCAGGTTGCTCCAACCTGGCCTTGAACACTTCTGGGGATGGGCAGCCACAGCTCCTCTGGGCAACTTGTGCCAGGGCCTCCCACCCTCACAGGGAAGAATTCCTGCCCAATATCCCATTGGACCCTGTCCTCTGGCAGTGGGAAGGCATTCCCCCTCTCCTGTCCTTCCTAACTGGTGGCTGGTTGGTGTTTTCCAGCCAGGATGTGCCCGATCACTCCTGTTTCCATCTTTCCATTAAACTTCTTTAGTGAAACAAACTCCAATCAACAAAACTCTGTCACAGGGACATTGTTATGGCACCAGACTCTGAGGAGGAAGTGAAGCTTCCTGAGTCCAGCCATGGGAAGAGGCAGGAGGAAGCATGTCCAGGGAAGGGAAGGAGCTGGGAAGGGGCTGGAGCAGCAGGAGCAGCTGAGGGAGCTGGGGGGGCTCAGCCTGGAGAAAAGGAGGCTCAGGGGGGACCTTCTGGCTCTGCAACTCCCTGACAGGAGGGGGGAGCTGGGGAGCCACTTTGTCCCTGTTCCATGTGGGTCACATCCCTGTCCCCATTCCCGGGACCCCCCGGCCCCTCCGCCCGCCCCGGATGCGGAAGCGGCGCCACCGCCCAATGGGAGTGGGCGCCGCAGATCACGTGCCTCTCTGCGCCAATCACAGCGCCCGACGCAGGTCCGGATGTTTTTCGGCCCTCCCAACATGGCGGCGCCCAGTGAGAGCGGTTAACGCGCCACTTCCGGGTCCGGGG